TTTTTGACCTTGTGAAAATCTGGTATGTTCAACTCTGCAATCTTCGCATTTGCGAAGAAGTTCTCGCAAATGCGAGCTCGCAAATGCGAGAGCAGGGATTTGGCTTGCTGATCGCAAATGCGACCTATTGGTTCGCAAATGCTAGTAGGGGCTGGTCGCAAATGCGGCATAACTGATCGCAAATGCGAAGCCCGGGGTTTTTGAAAGGGTTCGCAAATGCGAACTATATTTCGCAATTCCCACATCAGCAGGCCGGGATTCGCAATTGCGAACCCCAGTTCGGAAATCCCATACCTGCAACCTGCATATTTTATACTTAGCCGAATTTTGAACCATTTCCAACATCCTTTCAAAATACAAACTTCTTGGGCGATTTTTCAAGAACAATTTTTCTTCCAAATCATTTGTAAGTCAATTTTTACTCATTTCTTTCAATCATTAACATCATTTAAAATGTTTTCAACTTAACATCAATGATTTTCATGGGTGAAATTGGGGGTTTTGGATAGAACTTAGGTTTTTTCTAAAAATTGGGGATTTGGACCTCAATTTGAGGTCCGATTTCAAAACAAATCATATATTTGGGCTCGTGGGGGAATGGGTAGCCGGGTTTTGGTTTGAACCTCGGGTTTTGACTACTTGGGCTCGGGGGCAATTTTGGAAATTTTGGGAAATTCATTTTTATGCATTCAAATTGATTCATTTAGCGTTTATTGATGTAATTAAGTAACTTGTGACTAGATTCGAGTGGATTGGTGGTGGAATCGAGGGGTAAAGCCATAATTGAGACTTGAGTTGAATTCAAAACATCGAGGTAAGTGTGTTTGGTCTAACCTTAGCTTGAGGGATTAGGAGTTGAGTCCTATTTGCTATGTGATAAATGTTGAGTACGATGTATATGCATGGTGACGAGTATCTATACGTTGGTGTCAAGTATGACCGTGAGTCTTATATTGTGATTTTCATGATTTCGTTGTATTCTTCATGCTTTGGCGATGATTTCTAGTTGTTGTGAAAAGTTTGTGGAAGGAATTGAGACCTTTGAACATTTTGGAGCATTGGCTCGAGTTATATTATCAATTGTGAAAGTATATGAAACGATTAAACCCTTTGGAGCATTGGCTCGAGTTATATAATGAATTGTGAAAGTATATGAAAACATTAAACCCTTTGGAGCATTGGCGCAAGTGGTAAAGTGAGTTATGAAGTACAAGTGAAAGATAGAGAAAGAGTTATTGAAATGTTCCCTCGCCGGGATTTAATTGTTTAATTGTTGTTCCCTTGCCGGGATTTCCGATATGTTCTTATTTATTTCCCTTGCCCTTGTTTGTGATTGTTGTTTGGGTGAGGAAGAGTGTTAAAGTACGAAGGGTGATGCCGTGCACTTGTCTTTGATTTTCCTGATTTTGCTGATAATTGAGTTATGCTGTCTTTTACTTCTATTTACTGATCTTCTTGTTGTTATCGGTTCAAGTGCATTAATTGTCTTATTCCACTATTACTGTGAGTCTTTATGTTGTCATTTTCCTTTATTGTGTTACTTGTTATTATTGGCTCGAGGTATCCTTGCGCAACATTATGCTTCGAATTTATGCTATAATTGCTACATGTTTATGTGACTTAATTGCTACTTGACATCCAGCATACTAAATATTAAATTGCCTATTTTCTCCTTAAAGTCCATAATTAATTGTTACTTGTCATTTCTTGTTTTCCTCAGTGAGTCATAATTATTGTGTACTTGTTGTCTTATGAATTCGTATTAATTGTTGTGTTTGTTGGAGTAAATTGCATTTGGAAGAACTGTTAATTTAATGAAATGGGAGCGGGTGATACGCCTACCACGAGATTTAATAAAATGGGAGCGGGTGGTACGCCTACCACGAGATTTGATTATTGAGAAATGGGATCGGGTTGCACGCCTGCAACGAGATAAGTACTGATAGTGAAATTTGCTTTTATTTCCCTTATCCGTGTTAAAGTTAAATTATTGATGTTCTTTATTATTTTCTTGAAAGTCTGTATTATCTGCTACCCCCGAAGCATGTTCCCCTCCCATTTAAAATATTTGTTCTTGTTATTTTCCCGTTGTATATATATATATATATATATAACTGTACAGGTTTTCGTGGTAGTCCTGTCTAGTCTCGTCACTACTTCGCCGAGGTTAGGCTAGGCACTTACCAACACATGGGGTTGGTTGTGCTGATACTACACTCTGTGCTCTTTTGCACAGACCCAGGTCCCGGACAGCAGCAGTAGCTCGGGAGCCAACCTTCAGTTCACTGAGACACCGAGGTAGCCTTGCAGGTGTCCGCAGGCCCGGCGTCTCCTCTATTTTTATTTATGATCTGTTATCTTTTATATTCGAGACAGACAGTGTTACTTTCTTTCAAACGGTTGTATGTAGTGAATCTTAGTAGTCCGTGAATGTTGTGACACCAGTTCTGGGTAGAGGCACATGTGAATTTTTCCCTTATTATTTGGTTTATATCGTTTAAGTCTTCCGTTAAATTACAAATTCCGCTGTTGTTTAATTATTTATTTTCTGTTAATTAAATTGGTAAAAATGGATTTTAATCAAAAGCATTTATGGATTCTAGATGTCTGGCTTGCCTAGCTTCTACGAGTAGGCGCCATCACGACCCCCGAGGGTGGGAAATCCGGGTCGTGACAAAATTATAAATAATTACGTAAGTTAGTAGACAGTAATTTGTGAATATTTCCACGTACGTAAGTTAGTAGACAATGATAATTCTATTCTTTTCACGTTTATTGTTTCCAAAATTTATGATTTAGATACTGTTGGCAATCTGATTATTTATCTAGTATGTTAGAAAGCTTTTTCAAAAACTTCAGCTTATATAGTGCTGAAATTTTTACAAATGAACCAAATAACTTCAGCATCTTCTGCTGAAGTTTTTGAAAAAGATTTATGACAAAACTAATGAATCCAGGACAAAAAAATTTCAGCTTTTAGTGCTGAAGTTTTTATAAATGAACTTAATGACTTCAGCATCTTCTGCTGAAGTTTTTGAAAAAGCTTAATGACAAAATAATGAATCCAGGACAAAAAAAATTCAGCTTATTTAGTGCAATTACAAACAAAACTTCAGCAAATAGAGAACAAAACTTCAGCTACTATGCTTAAGTTCAGCAATTACAAACAAAAACTTCAGCACACTTGGTTCAGCACACTTGCTACTTCTGGCCTGTCTACTAGAATGCTAAAGTTTTGTGTGATTGCCTTTGCTACTTCAGCCCCGTATGCTGAAGTTACGCGAAAAAGTGGTACGCTTGCAATTTTTTTTGCAAAGCGGGCACAAATTAAAACGTGATCCAAAAAGCGAATATAGATGCAAATGCCCCATTAAAAGAACATAACATGTTATTTTTGACAACATGTTCTTTCAACTTTTTGGCTTATGCTCTCTACTAAACCAGAAAAAAATAACACGTTCGGTATCGTCAATATCTATTTACTCTATCATAGATTTACAAATATATTAAAAGGATTAACTAATTATTTTAGACTATTAATAGATCTAAAGAAAATGAGGTAAAGATTAAAATTATACGGCGATAATAGACACAAAAGAATGATCCTTTTTAATGATATAGTCCATCGCAAGCATGAAAAACTAACAATCAAAGTATTTAAGTTATATAATGAAGTTGTAAAGAATTTTTAAAATTTTATTATTATGTATCGGTTATATTACGGCAATATATGTCAACTGAAATATAAAAATTATATGTCAACTTAAATATAAAAATTATTTATGCATATTATCAATAACATATCCGGTGTATTTCCACAAGTAGGGTCTGGGAAGGGTAGTATGTACGCAGACCTATTTCCGGAAGACCCTAGTCTCAATAAAGCAAAATCACAACGGTTATGACAAAGAACTATGGAAAGTGCGATAGTAGTGACAACCAGAAAAAATAAAAAGAAAGCAAAGGAAACATCAGGTAATAAGCCTGCGTTTGCCATAGAATCCCAAATTTGTTTTGAAATATCTGATTTGGGTGAAGTTTGGTTTGAAGATGAAAATATGTTTGGACATCAGTTTTCAAAACATATTTTCCCAAATTTATTTTGGAAAAACATGAAACATAACTTATACCTACAAGTTCTAAAAACTATACAAATACCAAACAGTACCATTACCAATAACATTCATTATATTATCGCAAACCATAGTCTTGAACATAAATAAATTTGGTACAAGATTATCATTTTTATAATCAACTACATGATACACTATCAGATGACCGAGAAGACGAAGCAATATTGTTACAATATAATAAATGGTGGGCCGTTGTATAAAATATAAAAGTTTGATTAATTTTAAAAAAATGTAATAGTGATATTTTGGCCCAAAACCAGCTATTGAGCTGGTTTTGGGATGTGAGATTTGGATTTGGAATTTTGCCAAAATGTTGGCAAAACTATGTCTAAACATGTGTTTGCCAAATAAAATCCAAATTTATTTTGGCAAAATTTACGGCCAAAAGGGTCCTAAATATCAATTTAAAGATAGGGAACCAAGGATAATACTAATACTACAACTATAGAAGAAAATACAAGTTTAGGAAAGAAAGACGGTCGACTACTTACTAACCTACTAATACATATTATCGGTGCACATAATTTAAACTCGTCCTAAAATTAGGAACTTTGAAATTTAGAAAAGCATAGGCCGCGAATAGTAAGCAAAGTTAAATAAGAGGAGTCTAATTGCAAAAGATAAAGATTTCTCAAGATTGACAGTGCTGAAATTATGGTGGAAGTAACCATATAATATATATACACAGAACCTAGTCTCTTATTCTTAACCGTTCATTCATATTTTCACGTTCCTGATTGCTTCTCACGTGTATGCCACATCCCCTTGTCCTTTTATTACCAAAAAACACCCCCCCCCCTCTCCCTCTACCACCCCTCCCCCCACCCCTACAAAACTGTTCTCCTTTTTCATGAAAAGAAAACAGCATTCACTCCTCAAACTCTCTCTTCACTTTTCCAAGAAAAGAACTCTTCAACATCAAGTCTTTGCCTTTGTGTTTTTCCTCTTTGACAGTTTTCTTACATCTCTCCTTCTTTATTTCATGTCTCTTTTTTTCCCTCTTTGGAAGTTTGAAACCAAAGGCATATTTTGAGGGGGGTTCTAATTTGCATGGCAATCATTTACTACTAATATATCATATTTCCTTAGTATCTTCAAATTACACTAAAGTTTAAAGTTGCACCTTCTAAATTCTTTTTTTTTCTCTTTTCTTGGATCATCTTCTTCTTCAACTTCTTCAAATTTATCTCTTTTTGACTGATAAAAGTTCTTAATTTTCATTCCCAAGAAAATATTCAACAGACATATAGTAGTTCAAAGTACAAAAGGGAACAAATTTGCCAACTTGTTGAAGGTATATTTACACCTTTAGATCTATAAAAATATTGTCCCCTATCCCAACAAAGTCATCTTTTGGCTTTGATTCAAAAACTAGGTGCCAATATAATTCATTAATATATTTTTTTTGGGCCAAAAAAAAAAATGCTTAGGCAAAATTTGTATGGAGATGGAAGAAGTGGAGAAAAATGCAACAATAAGGTGAGAAAAAGGGGAGGATCAACATCAAGTTCATCTTCGATAATACAAAGTTATAGATTAAAAAGGGCAATATTAGTTGGGAAAAAAGGAGGGTCAAGTACACCAGTACCAATGTGGAAAATGAATAATTCAAGATCACCATCATTACAAAATGATAGTAATTGTAAGTCATTCAAGATTTTGCAGCAGCAGCAAACAACAGCAGCAAAAGTTATTGGTTGTGAAAAAGGGAAAGAAGTATTGTCAGTTTCAGCAAGAAAACTTGGTGCTACTTTGTGGGAAATTAATGGTGTTCTTACACCTAATAAAAAGGAAGAGGTGAATTTTGATGAAGTGGTAAGGGTTGTTAAGTCATCATCCAAATTTGATTCTGTTGCTTTGCAATTATCTCATAGTCCTGTTTCTGAGGTGGGCTTCTAATTTTCTTGAAAAAAATTTTACTTTTCATTTCTAGGGGGCAAATTTATGTGTATGAGTTTTTGCTAATGTTGTTTATAAAATTGATGGTGAATTTTGGCAGAGAATGGAGAGATCTAAAGTGGGAAGTCATAGAAGAAGAACTTCAATTGGTTCTCAGAAACATGTGCAGACTGATTTCTCACTCCAAAATGGTTGCTTGATTGAGGTGCCATTTTACTATTAGCATTATTAATAAAATAATCTATTTTAATTGGATACACTGTTTTGACTTTAGTTTTTTATGACAGTAACTTAAAAGTATATTGGATAATTCTACTCTTGTGTTCTTTTCTTTTTCTTGGAGGGGCTGTTACTGTTATTTGCTGCTGCAATTAACTGAGATTAAGTTCTAGTCATGTTGCTACATTTTTCAATTAGTTTTGTCAATCGGTAAAAGGAAGCCTTGGCGTAACTGGTAAAGTTGCTGCCATGTGATTAGTACTAGGAGTTCAAGCCGTGAAAACAACCTCTTGTAGAAATGCAGGGTAAGACTATGTACAATAGAACCTTGTGGTCCGCCCTTTTCCGGATGAGCTTAGTGCACCGGGCTGCTTCAGTCGGTAGAAAATATAGAGATTTGTTTTTCTTATGTAATAATGGACAGAGATGAACTTAAATGAAGCAACATGCACTATGAGGATCCACATAGTCAAATCCTAACTTGTTTGGAGTTGAGGGCGTAATAATTGTTGTTTGTTGTCATAGATTTTTCTGAAAGTAAAAACAAAACAGTGTCTGATCCTTACCCTACTATTTGAAATAGCAAGGTAAGAAGAGCCATTCAAAATTTTATCATAATGAATGACATAAATGGCATTTGGATATGTCCCTTGGCTTCTTCAAAGTTTTATTTTAGGAAATGGACAAATGTTTCATTATCCTTGAAAGGGACCAATAATGTAAGTTGGTCCTGTTTCAAGTACCATCAGATTCAACATGTCTTATGTTTGTTTTCCAACATTGAATTGATATAGTAGGTTGTAAACTTTCGTTTGTCATAGGCTACTTGTTTTCTACATGTGCAAAATGGTACTAATATATAGTCACAAAAATATCCTTGTTTTAGGCTAACCTATGTTTTTGCCCTCCATTTTCTGGTGCTTTTCTTTAGCTTCAAATATTTAATTTTTCTGATCGGTATACATAGATTACACATTGATTATATATATATTATACATCTGCCGGCTATGCAGGTTGATCAGACACAACAAAATCATGCACAGACTGTAAACAGACATCGGTTAAAGGATGTAAGGAATGGCCTCTCCGCGTCTAAGGAGTTGCTGAAAGTTTTGAATCGCGTATGGGGACTTAACGAGCATCAATCAACGTGCTTATCTCTTTTCTCAGCTATAAAAGCTGAGCTTGATCGGGCGTGTATTCAGGTGACTAAACTGATCCACGAACAAAGATATAACAATGGTGAAGTTGATGTCCTCTTGAAGCAATTTGAAGAAGAAAAGGCGGCTTGGAAGTTAAAAGAGCAAGACAAGATTCACACTGCCATTACATCTATAGCAAAGGAGCTCAAGATAGAGAAGAAGCTGAGGAAGCAAACCGAGAGACTAAACAAGAAGCTCGGGAAGGAATTGGCTGACACGAAAACTTCTCTGTCAAAGGCAGTGAAAGAACTTGAAGGCGAAAAGAGGGCACGAGAGATATTGGAGCAAGTATGCGATGAGTTAGCTAGAGGTATTGGAGAAGATAGAGCTGAGGTGGAAGAATTGAAGAGACAATCAGCTAAAGTACGCGAGGAAGTTGAGAAGGAAAGAGAAATGCTTCAACTAGCTGATGTTTTACGCGAGGAAAGAGTTCAAATGAAGCTATCAGAAGCTAAGTATCAATTCGAGGAGAAAAATGCAGTTGTCGATATGCTAAGGAATGAGCTCGAGGCATATTTGAGATCCAAAAAGGGACAAGAACAAGGTGGTGATGACTCTCCTAATTATGAAAGAATCAAAGAACTCGAAAAACATTTGAGGGAAACACTTCCAACCACATGTTATTACCAAGATAAAGAGAAGGAAAATGGGAAAGTACTAAATAAAGATGAGGATGAAGAAGAAGATGATGACGACGACGATGATGATTCAGCTGATAGTGATCTTCATTCAATTGAATTAAACATGGATGATAACACGAAAAGCTATCAATGGGGAAGCACTCTTCAGAATGATCCTAAGAGATTTTCGGTTTCTGATAAAAGTAAAGGGAGGAGGTCCATATCAGAGAAATTTCCAAGACAAAGTATTTCCATAGAGAGGGAAACTTCAGATGGCATAGAATGGGAATTCACCGCGGGAGGGAAAGAGAACGTGGACACGTTCGAGCAGGAGAGGTCCAACTTTCTTGAAAACGGAGGAATTTTCGAGTTCTCTTCTCAGGTTTGGAAAAAAGATTGTGAAGATGAAATAGAGAGGTACAAAATGATCAAGGATCTTCGAGACCATATCGTGTCTTCTGCTTCGAGGAAAACACCATCTCAAGGCTTTTCGAGTCCAACTAAGAATTGGAGCCAACAAAATTTGCCTTCAAATGATGCTGAAAGGGTGATCAATGAGGCTTTTGCTGTATTGCAAGGAGCAAATTGAAGAAATGCTTGAGTTTATTGGCCTTTAAATCACTCTCCTTCTGCAGTTTGATACTACATTGTTTACAGATTTACATGAAAATATTTTTTCTGCTGTTTTTTTCTGAAACTATAGCTAAACATCCAACCTCATTACAATTTTGTGGTTTGCCCCTTTGTATGACATAAAACTGTACAAATTTTTGCTACTCTTCTTTTGATTATAGAGATGCCATAAGTATATTACTATCTTGTGAACAATTTTCATTTTTAATACTATGACATTTTCATCTTTAGTCTCTTTATCAACATGCTCATTTATCCTCTTGGTTTTGAGTTAGATATCTATATCTATGTTTTTGTGTTTGCCCCAATGTTTTGGTTTAGCTATAAGAGCCTAGCACCTATGTTGCTCGAACTCTCCATATACATTGTTGCAATCGTGGCGGATGCTCCAAATGCACACTTTTGAAATATCCAACTGCACCCGGCGACAATTTAAAGAGTCCGAGCAACGTAGCCGGCGCATGATGTGTAGGGTGAGCGCAAGGTCATGTCTTTCGAATCCTGCTAAGAACAAAAGCCTAGTGTAGAAGCTCGGACGGGTTCAGTCGAACCCAGTAGCTTTTGCTTAAATAGTGCATTTTTGTTAAAAACAAAAATTATTAAATTTGTACACATACTAAACTTAGAACTCAGTTATTAGCACTTGAGGTCGTCGTACTAAGATCCATAACCATAAAGTTAAAATTCTGGCTCTGCCTCTATCTGCTATGCCAGCCCTATTTGAAGCGTCCACCATTAACCCTCGAGAATTTCTAGTTATTAAAATAATTATTTATTTTTGTGTGTGTCTGTGGGGTGGGGGTGGGGGGGGGGTGGGGGGGTGGAACG